TGTGTGTGTGTGTATGTGTGTGTGTGTATGTGTGTGTGTGTGTGTGTGTGTGTGTGTGTGTGTACAGGTATGTGTGTGTATGTGTCTATGTTTTTGACACTTTTATATATTTTGTGTCATGCCTATAGCTTTAATATTTATGTTATGTTCATAGCCTTGTTGTTACACTTATTCCAATATTTTTATAATATATTACAACTCTCCTTAAACCAGAGCAGTATAAAAATATGTATAAATACATAGCCTCCTAAATTGAACAATAAATAGCTTCAAAAAATAAGGAGACCATATGAACTTTTCTCGACTCGTACGGCTTTATATACTCTATTGTACAATCCAATCAAAATACAGGCCAAAAATTGTATGTAGCGCGCTGTGCACTTCACCCTTTTTTAATCAACCCAGCGACCAGCGTCCAACAACGCCCCAGTGAGTGATATTTATCATTGTGCAGTTTGTAATTATTTGAGCCAACTCCTAACATTTGAGCGATTGTATATAAATCTAAATACACACAGATCTGAGATCAGCAGGAATATGTGAATAGATCAGAATCATTCTATATATACTAGAGGTATTCTTGCTTGTAGCCCGGTCCGTACTGATGCCTTCTCTGCTCTTCCTCCCCTTTGCCAGCAATGCCGAAGTTGGCTTCTGGAAGAATGTATCTGAAAAGAAACTGCAATCCATTAAACTCAGCGAAGATCCACTCCCACTCCAGGGCCACTATACGACCACTGCATCTAGTTCAACCTTGTCGATAGGGTCTTCAGAAGTTATCACAAGCACACATACTGCGGTGAATACAAAAACAACTCAATCATTGAAGGATACAGGAGAACGTAATGTTAATAATCCTTTGAAGTTGACCGCCCAAGAGGAGGCAGTTATACTGCCGCCTCGATTCACTCTTGGAGACCGAGGGTTAGTTAGCACGCAGCCAACAGAGAGTGCAGGTAACGTATATGTTACATTTGAACTATGCTTCTGTTCAATTCATACTTACAATTGCGGTTCATAGGGTCACAGTCTTAGCAGTTCCTCTACACGGATATTCTTTGAACAAGGCACAATCTGCACGTATATTGTCAATAGTATTGTC